TATATATATATATATATATATGGTAACCCACATGAAGTGTGACGGGCAATAAAAAGACCAACTTATGGGCTTCTGGGCTGGAGGATGTGGTGATCCCCTGGGCGGAAAGGAACGCGATGAACGTCAGCTGAACCTTTCATAAGGTTGGGCACTAGCCCACAGCAGAAAGAAGATGCTCTAATGTTGTGAACCCACACTTCCAGGTTTTTGGGGCTAGGCAGGTTTGACCTTCAAATTCTCCGATCTCAATCCTGTGGATTTTGCTTTATCAACGATTATGGAGCAAAAAGCCTCCGCTTCCAAACACATGTCTTTGGACCCTCTGAAAAAAGCTCTTTTGTAGAAGCGGGGGATGTAAGCGATTGCGCGCATTCATATGTATTGCGAGAAGCGCATGAAGTTCGTAGCCTCCTGCACGGAGTAGGTCGGCTGAGATCTTGGCCGGGGCTGGAGTTGTGCCCATTCTCATGCTCGCAATCGCACCCCTCACCTGCGAAGGAAGGATCCGAGGTGCTGTTCCGCCACTGGGGATTTTTGGTTTTCGCACGTGTGTCGTGGATCGGTACAGGTTGGTAAAAACCTCTGTGTAACTTCTTCCATCTTGGATTCAATGTTGTAAATGTTCCGTCCTCCTCCAAACACGAAAGTGGAATACTGTAGTCCTGGAGATCCCGATGGCATTTTCTCGGACTAGTTCTGTCCAAGGCTGCCTCCAGTAGTCTCTTCCCCTGGATAGCTGAAAGTCTCGCCGCACTGCCTGTCTGCAGCTTATATTCGCCTGCAGCCTTCAAGATGTGTGGCGTTCTGGTCAGGCCTCAAGCTTCTTGTTCTGAGGAGATCCTTCGTCGCATATGAAATGCGCGCGGAGTATCTACTCGAGGAAACTTGGCCTCTTCAGCACAAGTGAGGAGACCCCAAGCCAGTGCGTCGTAGTCTTCGGTCGTCCAGGACCTGCCAGTCATATCGGGACAAAATGTCACTCAGAACATCTCCGTCGTATACAACAAGCTTCGAGCTCTTTGCGCGATGTTGAGAGATCTTTTCCAGCTTGTGACTGAATGTGATCTTAGCGCGAAGGATTCGATGATCGGAACCACTGGAAAAAGATGGTACCACACTAACATCTAGTAAGCACCACTTTCTGTTTGTTAATATGTGGTCCAGTTCAGCATGAGTTGTACCGTTTAGAGAATCCCGTGTCCAGCGGCGACGTTCCTTCTTCTGGAAAAAGAAGCTTCCATAGAGGATTCGAGTCGCGGACAGGATCCCACCGAGACGGTTTTCATTCTCGGTCCTGTCCCCCATTCCGAAGTTTCCAGTCTTGAACTCTTCCCCTTGTGCTTTGCCAAGCCTAGCGTTGAAATCTCCAACGACGAATTTGTAGAAGGACGGATTTTTCCTATTGTATGATCTCCTCACGTTGGTCGTGAAACGCATTGAGATCTACTGTAGAGAGTGGTTAGTAGCAGTTGATGACAGCAGAGACTGTCTTAAGGTGCGCATGTCGTAGGCGTAGGATGACAAAGCGAGGAGACATGCCCTCGTGAGAATTGACGAGATGGACGACAGATGGGTGTACGACGGAACTAACGTCGCCGACGTTTCGCGAACGAAGCTTTTCACCACGGATGTTGCATCGTTCATTCGTCGCACATCGGTTCTCCTGCTCTTGGTTTCTTGCAGCGCAACCACATGGTATTTAATGTGAGTAGCCGCATCGAAGAGCCCATGGAGAGTGGCATTGGAAGACTGTTCTCGTGTTGTAAGTACAGCGTAGGAAACAGTCTCCATGCCGTGTGGGGGGAGTGCTTCCATGGTCCAAAATCCAAGACGTTCGTGCGCAACCCTAGATTTCTTCGCCTCTCACCGGTTGCCATACCGTCCGACGCAGGAGACGGCTGGGCCCAGTGTGCAGGGTACTGAGGCTGTTTTATTGCTGTTTCAGCAAGCTTACTGCCTGGAGTCCCTACACTGCCTTGCCAGCGGCAGCACTGCGTCTTCACTATCGTGGCTACAGCCACTCTGGATCAAAAGGAGCCGAGGTGGCCTACTCCTAGCCGTTCAGACATGCAGACGTGCCGTTTAACTATTAGTTGAATATGGATGTTTATATGAATAGTAATTAACCCATTGACGACCGCGTGGCCCGCCAGCAGGCCACACCATATCGTGCCCCTGTAGTATTTAAATTATTCATCAAGTGTTCTTATATTTTTTTTCCATGTTTTCAAGTATCAGCTTAGAAAATCAACCTTTTAGAAAATCTTGAGGCATCGTGGTCCAGGAATCATTCACTTCCAACTATAGTTACGAGAGAAATTAAAAGTTAATGTAAGGACAATGTAAAAGGCGCAGTCGCCAATGGGTTAATCATTACCAGAAAACGTTTCGAGGAATTTTTACGAGCTTTGCATTTGGAAATGCTAATAACGACCGTCTTTTCAAAATATCTCATTTTTTGAAGTTGTTTAACGAATGAAAAATACACCAGGGTAATGTACTCCTCCGAAAAAAACCCTTTACAATTGCAAAATTAGAAGATTTCGTAGGACCACGCTGTATGTAGTTTCATTTAGGCCTGATGTAATGTTTTGAGAAGAATAATTGAAAGAAAGTAGAAATTTGATGATTAAAACAAAAAATACAATTGCAGTCCACACGTGGCCTGCATGGTCGTCCATGGGTTAAAAAATGATAGAGGCTCCAACACAAAACTCCGTCGACCAGTAGGAAACTTAGGTGAGGAATTTCGGACCATACAAACCGGCATCTGATGGTAGTGACGAAAGCAGAGAAAGAGGAACCACCTCCCATCTCCCGTGGAGTTGATTAAGTTGAGAAATCGGATTTTCTTTTGGTATATGAGGACAGAAGTGCAGGTGGCCACCTTCGAAAGGTCATGAACGGACAGTTCATGTGGGACTCATCGAATATGTTAGGTATATTGCGGAGTTGTTCCGGTCCACGTTCAATCGTCGATTGATTACAGCCGAGCATGGTCGCCATTTTTCCGATGGTCAGGAACGGGTCCTCCTCCACGGTGGAATATAAGAGTTAGGAATCTAACTCCATCGGCCGAAACGACCCCGGAGCATCTTCAAGAGAAAATCTCCTTTCTCGACTTTGGCAAACCAAGTCTTGCATGTGCGGTAAGAGATGACGGCATCGCCGTATGTTGCCACTAGCTTGGCATTGGCTTACTTTGCATTCCAGTCGAAAACGTGAAGCAAAACCAGGCTGTGGCGCAGGTACCTCCTATCACAATGCTAATTATGCGGCATTTCCGTCTGCATATGCAGGGTGATAGCTAGTGTGATGGCAGAGTATCACGCACACGTCATGCACACGCGCGATGACGAAATACCAACATCCATGCAAACGAAATACGGAAGGATCAAACAAAAGGGAAAAAACTTATGCATCAACCTCACATGACTATAGCATAATTCCGCTCATGACTAGCAAGGCGCTCACGGAAAGTGAGTGCGTGTGAGTGTGTGTATGCGCGTGTGTTCAGCCGGAAAAATTATATTCTCTTGTACCAGGGCGTCCAAATTTGTTAGGACGTAGGCGGCAGTCCAACTTTACAAGGAATGAAGGAGAGCCCAGGGTTAGCCGGACGATCCGACTGGTAACTTAAACAATTTGTGGGAAAAATTGCAGTGATAGTTGTAGTAAAGAATGCCGACAACGGAAAACAATGACCAGTCACCTGTGACTGCATGGAATCCACTGTCGGAGCGACAAAGTGATGAATGTGATGGAAGGGATGTGCCAGGGGCCGCATCGAAGCTGCTGACATTACAACCTGAGTTAAAATTAACAACAAAATGGTTGTATTAATCATTGTTTGATTACTCAAAAGATATTACTACGTTTCTACGTAAAATATAGATCCTTATGGCAGCCATAAACTTGACTAGTGCGCGATTACCTTCTCCGCACAATTACAAAACACTGACGCTTTAGCAAAGCAAGCGCTCACGTTTCTAGGATGCTACGCATGCCCAACTTTATAGGAAAAATATAAAATATAACTCAAAATATAACGGATAAGAGTGCTACGTACGTCTTCCAAGGTCTAAGTGGGCCATATTCAATGAATGGGTACGAAGCCTTCCCATGGACGACTCATTACCACGATTCGGCTGAAAAAGCAAATAAAATATAATCAGCACCCACGCGTATTCAAAAATGAGTAGCGATAATATACGTTACCGATAATGGCCCCCTCTCGTAACCAGGCGCCTTGGGATAGTTGCCTGAGATTTGATCCGTAGTTGCTGAAAAACTTTTCGATGCCATCGGATGACGCTGCTTGAGTACAGACTGAAAAATTATTCGAAACAGTGTGGAATACAATGTAGGATATCACAAAATTTCCTCAGCTCGTTGAAAGGATTCGCGGATTGGATTCGTTTATAAGGCTTATGACAGCTGAACGGTGAAACGCTAAATGAGCATGTGCATTGAGGTGTGATTAGGTTAGCCCATTGGCGACAACTTGGCGCGCATGCGCATCAAGCCTTGTAGACCGCATGGGACCAGTTGACGCGCATGCGCGTCAACCTTTTGACATCCTTTTTTTCTCCGCGGGTACGCGACTTTTCCCAAGATTTTCGTGCTTACTAGTAGACAAAATATTATGGCATTTGTAAACAATGCGGTCCATCGAACGGATAAATACGCTTCGATTAAAATTTTTCAAACAATGTGAAACTTCCAGTTGGAACAGAGCCTTGACTTCTAGTTTAGAACAGAAAAACAAACAATAGAGGAGCCTACAAGTGCCCACATTATATTTCTATGTGGCAAGGTTTGTGTTCTTTATCGAAACAATCAATTAGAAAAGATCAACTGCATTTACTGCTACGCTTGACCGTTTTTGCTTTTTTTGATGTCATAGCAGATCCTTGGTTTTACACAGGGTTGCGTAACACTCCACACACTTTACACTGCTGATTTACTTAGTCTTTAGTCACCCCGTCTTACACATGACGTGGAATCGATAGCTTTAGGTGGACAATAATCAACCTTCGGCGAGATTCAAGTCATTTAGCTTGATATGTCCGTTACCGTATTCCAGGTTTAAATTCACGTCTATAACTTTGTTTTACTCCCCCTCCCCCTTCGAGGCGGTTGTAGTATAGTAACGAGTGGCGCACTATCACGCACGTATTGTCATGGGTTTGAATCTCATGACCTAAGTGCGTGATAGTGCGCCGATCGTGATTATGATCGTGCGTATCACTATCCGCCCAGGCCATCCAAACCTTCCATTACTGATTGGCACCTGACTCATGCTTTATGCTTTCAATGCGCCACTACGATTTTGAATGGAAATCGAATACGGGGGCGCATCCGACAGAAGGAATTGGTTAGCGCCCAAAACGTTAATTCTCCTTTTACTACCCTCTTCACTCGCACAGCCTTCTAGGTAGCAATGTCCTACTTTTGCTTTACCTTCGTATTAATGCTGTTTCTACCTTGGAGAGAGAAAGCCGACCAGTAAAGCTTTCCATCGGCGGCTGCTCTTCTCTTTACCTTATATATTAGGGTGTGGTGCGATTCACGCGTCAATATAATGAGTCATCGGACGAGACGAGCTGTAACTTCACGCCTACCATCATAATGGGAGAAATAAGAACTTATAATACATAAGTAAAGAAAAATGACCAACACGTTTGACAAGTAAATAGTTCACCTATGAAAAGATTTCTTAATAAAATTCATAATATCAAAGGGGCTTCTCTGCTATAGTAAAGAGATTTGCTCTAATTTATGGTGAAGTCGTGGATTACTGGAAATCTTACTTGGTCCATCTCAACAGATGGATACTGAAGCGATGCTGCGAGCGCGAAGAGCTCTAATGGGGCACGCGTAATTGCGCCCCCCCCCCCCAATATATTACGATTGTTTTGTTGCCTCGCACTTCGACTTTAAAAAATGCTTCTCGGGGGACAGTTTGACGCGGATGCGTGTCATGTTTGTCGAGCGCGCCAAACGCTCAATTCCCACGCGGCGAAAAAACCCAAAACACGCTGTCGTAATGGATTAAAACAAAGGCCTTTCAGAGTTAGAGCTACCAGTGATATTCGAGCCCGGTTCGAGGAATCGACGGAGTCGCAGCACATTCAATGAACACGGTAACTTGTGTGATTTTTTCTCCTCACAAAACTGGTCTGAATGCTTGGGGTCAAGCAGCCAACTGGTACGGACAACGTGAAAAACAGAACTTAGCAAATGAGCGCATTTCGCTTTTAAGCGTTGATACTGTGTGGTGCCGTCGGTACAAGCGGGGAACTTGTAGTTAGATCGGTCAGAGTCAGCCTTTTCACAAGTTTACCTCAACTGTTCTTACGCAAAACGATTAAAAACGTGGATGATTGACTGAAGCAAAGAACAGGTGCGCCTTTCAATGAAATGTTTGAACAAAAGCTTTTGAATAGAAGAAAAATCGGAATAAGTATACTGAAAAGATGTGAATCGGAAAATAGGACACTTCTAATAGCCATTCGTTCACGTGAACAATGAAAGGGGTTTTTCGTACCTCGTTACATGCCTAGTTAATCCAAGTCCAACTGCATCACAATCAGAGCAGGCTCTTGCCTTTTGCCTGTTTTACGGATGCAGCGATGAAGAAAGTGGTAGTTGTCTATTCGGGAAAAAAGTATAATTTGCTGAAGTAGTGAAGATTTATCCAGGATCAAGACTTGACAGGCTCTATTGCGTTTGTGTTCAGTGATGTGGGTGTTATAGTGTTTTAGAGGTATAAAGATATCCTTGCAAATGAAAACGGTTGTTTCGAACCAAGGTTGAGAATTAATGGCTTTTGGTCCAATTCTAGTTGATTCATCATGGTTCGCTACCTACTACATCGAAGTTGGGGAAACTACAGTTCACCTTATCCCAGAAGCAATGTGTTATGCACTTCGATAAAATAAATTGAAATCACCAGTTCCTGAAGTTTAACTGCAACCTAGATGTATACAAACACTGCGCGAAATCTTTCTTCCTTTGATTTCGGTTCTGACCAGCCCAATCAAATCAAATTATCTTTTCAACAATTCGAGAATCTGATCATTAAGTCTTGGAACACCTTTACATCAAGGTCACCTGTTCTGACGGATTTTCGAGGCTTATGAAACCAAACCCTGATGAGAGGCTTCGGCACTTAATGCCTTTTTCGCAGCTTACAATTTCAGTAGTTGTAAATAAACAGTTACCCCATAGTAAACACATCCATCCCATTGAGATGAACGAGGAATCTTAGGGAGTTAAACTGTGAGCCGGGAACTCGAAAAAATATAGGACACCGATCCAATCCTGAGGCGAAGATATACTATCATGGAACCACACGCATGACTCGCAACTCATCTCCATGGTTGATTTCTGGCTTGATGCTGCATTTTCCGATATTACATGATTTTCCGTCCTGGGGGTCGCACAGTTACCAACTAGGCAAAACGCTCATATCAAAGAATTCAGCGTTTTATATTTTTTTATTTTATTTTTTTATTTTCATTTTTTTACTTTATACTTTCAGGTTCGATTAGGTGACGCCCACAAGAAATGCTGTGAGAGTAAGCCATGAGAGTCACGTTTTCGTTCTCGTTCAGGTGGACTTTAAGGTACTTTACGGTCTCCCTCACGTGCTTCCCTTCACACTCTCTGCAGTGAATTGAATAGAAGGTGCCTTGACGTCCGTAATGTCTTCAGATGTGCAGTATCAACAAGACTGCTCGTGGTGCCGAATCTCATAAACTCATACTAAGAGGTCCTCGAGCACAGGAGTGGTCGAAAAAACGAGTTTACCGTCATTAATCCGTATTTTCGTATGAGAACCATCAGAAAGTCACCTCCTATGGTTTCCCAATGAATGCTGTACCAGCATCGCGAGCCGAGCCTCTGTGTTTCTACAAGGTTCCCGTTTGAAACACGATACAACAATAATAAACACCATTAACAAAAATAATACCAATAATAAACACGTCATCAACATCACTTGTTAAAACAAAATTTCATTAGTTGATGACTATTCGACGTGATCCAAGAAGGTGACAGCCAACGCATGTGCTACACGAACACCCATAGCCAAAGCCAAAAATGTTAGACTCTAGGGCTGTTTCAATGAAATCCCTAATTTGCAGAAAATCTCTTCACTATGATTTGGTACCGCCGTCGATGATAGCTATCACACTTGCACTGCTCCGCCTTCTTCACTCCCCATATTAGTATATGAGTTCAAAACTCACATAGAAGGCCCCTGTCGCTCGTCGCTATTGAGCAATGGTGACACGACAAATCCAATTCTTCGGTATTAACAAAGCATTGCTGCGTTAAAGTGACGAAACAAACAAATTAAAAACCAGCTCAATCTGTCCCTCGTACCTATTTCGTTCATTATAAAGGACATTGTATGTCTTGTTGCTGAAACTCGGACCAGCTTCCTACTTCTTCTTCTCTTTACTTCCTTTTCATGGAATCACGGTATGCCACCTTCACAAACAAAAAGGGACATATTCGAAAAGGCGAGGCGCGCCATACCCTCTAATTCGCCTCAAATTCACATGATGTTCCTTTTGGTACCTACCTTCCTTAAAACGACAAGTACCATGTATTTTATTCACCCAAACGAGCCTCCTCTCTCTTCTACACACCCACTCCTTTGCATGGAAACACGGTACCCTACCTCCCTTTTCTCATAAGAAAGGCCAGGTTCGAAGAGGAGAGGTGAGCCGTGCACTCAATTTTACACATTTACTAAGATTCTTGATGGTGTTTGGGTGGGTAAGACGTTCCTTCACTCGACGAAAGCTCATATCTAACTAAATATAAACAATCTGTTTTCTAAACTACAATACAATGTAGGCCCCAAAAATTTTTCCACCGCGATGAGAGGACTCAATATCCTGAGGTTAGCGCATGGATGGGGGCAGCATCGCACCTGCACCTGTCTTACTTCACAACCGTAACTCAGGGAAGGATAACGTTTACATTACTTCTTTTTTTATAAGGTCATTCACTCATCTACCTGTCTCATCATTAGTTCTTCACAAGAAATCGTGATATTTAAACTCATTATCCTACAAACGAAGAGGTTTAGGTTTAAGCTAATCAAATTTATCATGTATTTTTTAGTTAAATCAACTTCCTCTCTCTTCTATTCTCTGCTTTCTCTGCAAAAAATTCCGTTACGGTACCCTTCGCTTCCTTCTCCGACAAAAAATGGCCACATTGAAGAGGCAAGGTGCCATGCACTAAAATTTCCCTCAAATTCGTGATCCTTTTCCTATCGGTACTTA